CCCAAATAAGAAATGAATTACAAAGAATTCCTTGTGGAATTTGTTTGGTTTAAATGGTGGAAATCGAATTACGTTCGTTTTATAATTATTATTGTGTGGCGGCATGAATTAACTTCGCATCATAATAGTAAATGACTTCCCAATCCTATTACGGTAGAAGTCTTCGACGGACGGACCATCTCCTCATTCACTTGAAAGAAAACTACTGTTCTGTAACAAATTCGTACGAGAGGAGCAACCTACGCTACCCTACTTGATGATGATATGATATCATCATTTCACTTCCCAGCAACTCTCCTGAGTCCGAACTCCGAAGTTGAGTTGATTTCCTTTTTCACCTACTAGCAGCAGCATTTGGTGTCACGTCAAAGTATTGAATCCATCATGTGTCAATTTCGCACTTCTTTACTGGAATTCAAACATATATTATATTCAAGTATTATCCTTTACACATTTTGCAACTTTTTGTTTTAGCACTATTCTATTCAACGTGAAGTTAAGCTAAATATCCCTTTGATTGTTTCAGTTTCTTCACGCACACGCATATATAATATACCCCTATTTGGCAAACAGGATTTTTGCCAAATTTTTTTTTCACTTGTTTTTTAATAACTTTAATTACAATAGCATCTTTAAATTTTTTTTTTTTTTTTTTTTTTTTTTACAAATTCTACCATAAGTAAATTACAGTAGTATATTTTCAAAAAAAAAAAATCTAAAAAAACTCGTCTACCAACCAAAAGAAGAAGGTACTGTAAGGGCAATGCACACACACTGATGGAGTAGACAGTAGAGGTGGCCTTTCCAAATCTCTATGGGAGAAAATGTAGTGCAACTGCACCCGAAATTGTACTGTACAATTGACTCCTCTCCATGCCATTTTTTTTCAACACTAGGAGGCATGAACCGCGCCCTGCGCGGTGATAATTTATTATGGATGCCCATAAAACATATGTAGCAGGTATATAATTTTGAAAATAAAAAGGACATTGACTTTATTAGATGTAATAAGTTGGAATAACAAAAGTAACAGCTAGGACAGAAGGAATGTTTGTTGCTTAAAACTCCAAAGGCTAAAGAACTATACAAAGATCTAGGCTTTAGAAACGCAGAAACAAAACAAAGTTTAGTAATTGTCCAGTGAATGAATCGTCTAAGTAACAAACATGTGGTCTATAGTCTACATATCACTATTCCAAATACTACTGCTGCCTAAGAACTCAGCCCAAGAAGAAAGGCTCTGAGCTGGCAGCATAACAAAGCATCCCAAAGAAAATTTTTTAAAAAGAACAGAACCACTAAATGCTATTAGTATCAATAGCATATAAGCCTCAAAACTAATACCGACGCCACTACAAGCTCAAAGAAGTTCACGAGCTGACAAGATAGCACAAGAAATAAGCATCCAAAAACAACCTCTCTAAACTGGGTAGCAAGCAACAACAGCGTATTTAGTGCATGTCACTTTGTTGATCACATCGGATGAACGCTTAAAATAGCATAGGAGCCTGGTCAGTTCAATTCGACAAGCCACACGATGGTACAACTTAAAGGTCTGCAAAAAGGTTGAATCGAAATAAAGTGGCAATTCAAGAATCCATGTACACAAATCAGACCATTTAAATTGCATAAAAGAAAGTTCATTAATGACAAATCCAAATGACCTGGCTACATAGTTGAACAATCTCCAAGTTCAGGTATCTATGCATGAGAATAGAGCAACACATAACCTCATCGTCAGCAGCCTCAAACATGTCAAGCGCGCTAACACCAATCAGCTTCTTAGCTTCGACACCTAATGCAATAACATTTACACACCCAGTATCATCATGAAAAGTGAGCCAGATCCATGCTCTATAACAAAAATAACATTAACCACCAAAAAAAAGGAAACCAAGGAATACATAGAGTTTTTAAAAACTAATAACTAATAACAAATCCACGATGCACCTAGGGAAATCATACATTCCCTGACCTCAACCAAGGTATACAAATAGTCTTATATGTTGACAAGACACCCTCAATTGATTTTAGTTTTCTCACGTGGCACGATACCGTTGGGGTAAAAGATTGGAGGCACAAACAAAAGTGACACGAAAAATCAACATAATTTCTTTTCACAAAAAATCAAGATGCAGAGGGGAATGCAATATTGGCCATACATCTTTAACAAGAGCTCTGTGTTATTATAGCAATCAAACTTCCAGATAAGAGTTTTGGAGCCACGAAAACAGGCAATTTCGCATTTCAGACACATGCAAACATTTAATTCTTGTTTATCAATGAAGGAACATTATTACAGTTGCAATGTACATTTTTTGTGTGCTAAAATGTCTAGAATTAAAAAGTTTCATCCTCCATTTGCAAAGCCTTCTATTGCATGATACAGTTCCTGCCAAAATCCAGATGCAGCAGTGATTTGATACTACAAACAACTTAACTAAGAGAAACAGCTCCTTAGCAGTATCAAGAACAACTGAACATTTAGTATTCATGCCAGACTGCAGATTTACCAAAATGATCTCATAGCATTATACCTAATCAATATTGAACAAGCTAAACGTTTAAAAAAGTTTCCTCGTCTAATGTAGCTCAGGACATAGAAAACAATGCATGCAATAAATCTTATAGAATAATCAGTGGGTAGAAGCAACCTTTTTTGTAGACAAATCCTTTTTTTTTTTTTGCACTGGCTTCTTCACAGTCGACCCAAACACTTCATACTTAATAAAAAGGAAAATGTTTAACAATCAAAAGCTGTCCCATTCCATTTCCAGTAGCAAAAAAAATAAAAATAATTGTCTAGTTTATGGAGTAAATCTTGCACCCGAGTACGTGAACTATTAACCCAATACAGGAAAGGTCAACTGCACATTAATTAAAGTACTGCAATTCAAATAGAACTAACATGAAACGGGGATACCTCTAATCAAATGCATAGGGATCATCTGCATAAGGATTCAGAGATCCTTCTGAAAACAGATCACCTATATTAGATGAATTTGTATGAACTTGTCCCTTTGTTCCCTATCATGAAATTCCAATCACAAATGTCAGCACACATAACATAAAATTATATGTGACCGTAATCACAAGGCATCTTGCAGTGTACAGAGACAAACTTCATCACATACAGTTAAATTTCTCCTTGTTTCTACTTTACCTTGCTCAGGTTAACCAATTGCTCTGTTTCATTGCATTAATCTATTAGTAATCACAACTTAATCCTAAATGATATGAATAAGAGTAACACCATTTCAAGGTAAGAGAATTTTGTGACCACGATTATTGTCTGTCTAGTACACCCCATTCATCAAAAATAGGCAAAAATCCTACTTCTTGTTGGGTGAGACATGACTGACACTCCACAAAAGATCAAAAGCTAAAACAACCAGCATGATGACACTGAGAAGGAAAATTTATCCTAGTTCATTGTTTAATTACCTTAGTAACAGCTCTAGGTGTAACAACTTTTGGTGTCTCTAGTTTTTTATGTCTGCCTGGGTCCTGTAGTAATAGAGACAATTACACATAACCAAGAAATATACACATAAAGAATCGTTCCCCTACGACAATGCATACTGATCAGAAATCAAAATTACATACCGCAAACATTACAGTACTTTTGGTTTTCCTTTTTTTGTAATTGTTCTTCCATTTGCTGTTTCGACTTCATATTCATGATGAGTGACATGCTTAAGCAAGGAAAGGAGGTTAGACAAACGGGCACAAAGAGTTGGGCTGAATTTTCTACGAACACAGAGAGCTTATCAATGATATTCAGAAGCATGAACTTAATTTTCCATGTCTTTCTTGAGATATAGATTAAATTGACAAAAAAAGAAAAAAAGGGAGAGCGAGGCATAGGAAAACTGATACGGGTCATGGATTTCTCTTTCATTGTAAAAATATAGACTGGCAGGCTTTCCTTTTTTTTTTATTAGTGCTCACTTGGTCGGGTTGGTTATAAGAATCGGATCTTTTCTTGGTCAGCAAGGGTGAGTTTGTCGGAAGCGTTGGAAAGGGAGGCATCGAGGGACTGAAGCTGGGACTGAAGGTCGGCGATGATGGCGTCAAAACATACGAATTCCAGGCAAAAAAAAAAAAAGAAGAAAGAAGGAAACTTGTAGCAAGGACTGAAGCTGACTGGACAGATTACAACGAAGGAAGAGGAAGAGATCCAAACGAATGGAAGAAGATCCGGACAGCTGCAACCAACAGCGAAGATGGCATCTCCTTGGGCGGAAAGAAGACAGTGACCGAGCAAAAAAACAGAAAGCTGCACGTCACCGGACAAGGGAAAAAAATAGGAATGCCAGGGAAAAAAAATGAACAGAGGAAACTTGAAGAGAGGATCGGACCTCACTGGAAAGGAAAATAAAAGACAAAGAAGAGAGCTTACAACAAAAGAGGAGGAGAGGCCAACGAACGGCACAAGATCTGTACCGATGCAGCCGACAGCGAAGGTGGCAGCTCCTTGGCCGGTAAGAAGGCTATGGGCTTGGGAGAACCGAATACCAGAGCTCAACAAAATGTTGCAGCAGGCTCCAGAGCATGCGGGTAAGTGGCAGAGCAACATTGTGGGGAGAAGTAAATGCAGTTGGAGAGAGAAGGGAGCGGGAAGAAAGCAAATGCAGCAGACGCATAGAAAGAAGGACGGACGGTCACATGGGACACTGGCTGGCGAAACCAGATGGGAAGCTGACGCGCGATGCGCGAACAACATGATACTTCCAATCCACATGCCGGGCACGTGAGAGGACGACGAAAGTTTTGGCTGAATGCTGGTGGGACGTTATCTACTTATGTTGATAAGTAGATAAAGAGCCGAAGGGCTGTGATGACCTGGAAGTTTTCGTCGTCCTCTCACGTGCCGCGCATGTGATTGAGAGCGTTGTTTTTCTTCGCGCATCGCGCGGCTCTTCTCCTCTGCTGGTACTCCATGTGCCTCCTGCTGCGCATTAAAAGCTTCTTTCTCTATCTGGTGCTAATACGTGATTTTTCTTGCCGCTGCGTTTTCTGTCTGCTTCTTTTGGACAGTGCTTCTCTCTTGCTTATCCGCCTGCTCTGCGTCCTGGTGCACGAGCCTGCTAAAATATCCGGTTCTCTTCATTCCTTGTTGTTTAGGTTTCGGTGTTCCCAGGTTCGTCGTCACCCACCACTGGTACGGTCCCCGCTCGTTGGCTAGCTTAACTGACCTAGAGCTGTGGCCTTGGGGTCTTTCTTCCTTTCCGGTTAGATGCATACTTTGCTGTAACCTTTCTGCTTGATCCTTCGCCTGAAACTGATGTTTTTTCCTGTTTTCTTTGTTTCCTTTCTCGAGCCGCCAAAGGCCTGTCAAACCTCTGTCCTTCGCGTTCTCAGGGTTTCGGTTGTCTAGATCAACCGCCGTTGGCTAAGCTACGTCTCCTCTCCGTCTCCGTCTTCAGGGCATTCACTCAGGTCAGAAATGAAATGGAATTGGGCATCTCCCTCTCCGACACCCAGTATCACAAGTGCCTCATCTCCCGGAGGTTCTTCAGACCGAGAATAACCTCGCAACCGGAGGTATATTTTCTTCAACTTTCTTCCTTCTCTCAATATCTCAATCTCTCTCTCTCTCTCTCGCTCTTTTTTCTTTTGTTTCAATTAATCTGAATTTCTATCTACATTCAACGGAGTAATAGTGTATCGTCCTTAATTGGTGCACAACATTAGGAAATCTTGTTCTCTTTTGTTGTTTCCCCTCTTTAATAATCGAACCACTTCAAGAAAAAAACCGACCTTGGGAATTATTTTGCCCTAATACCCATTGTGGGTTTCGTAAATTTTGGTAATTTATTATATTTAGCTATAAGAGAATTGGGGGTTTTGGTATAATTTGTGTAAAATTCCACAATTTTTCGGCTAGCAGTTTGGGCTTTAGAATTGCTGGTTTTGTCTGAATTTTTTATCTCTTCTATATTTAATGGATATCTGAGGATCATTTAGTATCTGAAACTAATAAATCTGCCAACGCTTACAGTCATGAGTGTAGAGTTAACTAAATATGTTAACCTCTTTATGAATAACTTTTTAAGGACTTTTATGCTAATTCTTCGCATTCAAAAAGGAGAGAAATGGAAGAAACATTAATTTTCTGGTATTAGAGACACCTGCGGGAAAGAAGATGGTAGCAAGTTACTGACCCCAGGTAGTATGAGATGAGATTGTATTGTAATTGAGCAGGGTTCACTTATCATAATAGATTGAATTTTGTAGTTCTGAACTGATACATTGTTCTTTTGATTGACTGAGTGGCAATTTGGGAGCCATGCAGTTTGTTTTTCTTGTTTTTATTTTCTTATAATCCAAACTTGAAAAGGATTTGTTTTTTCTCTTCCGAGTGATTGTTTGGTTTTCCAAAGATTTAAATTTTCCAGAGATTGATTGTTTGGTTTTCCGAAGGTCAATCTCTTTAACCCAAGAAAATAATAATATTAAACTGAAAAACAACAAAAATGTTGTCTTGGGAAACTATTGTTTATTTACATGTCTTGGAAGTTGAAATTGCCAGAAACAAGAAGCTCACTTTCTCTGATGGTCATATTTCTTCATCAGGTTGACCATTGCCAAATAGAAGAGCTTAGCCACAAGACATCTCATAGCAATAGCACGTCTTATTGTTGAAAATTTTGATTTTATGGTAGTGTTTGTAGGTTGAGTTATGACCCATGATTTATGCTCAGGCCCTTAAAATGGAGATATATAGTGAAGAAAAGTATAAAAGATCGGGGTGGCTTCAACATTTACCTTCAACTAATTTTCCTTGTGTTTTTCCTTTTTGAATTCAGCTTTGTGGAAATTATGGCTCCTGTTTTCTCGCGGGATGCTTGGCGATGTGTTTGGCATACGATTCAGGTTCCCTTCTCTAACTTTGTCTTTTGTATACGTATGTTTTAAGCCTTGTTGTACCTCCAACTATTTTTGCTTTTAGCTGCTCTCATTAGCCTTGGTTCTTTCCAGCTTAGAGCTCACACTGATTTTTTACTTTCAATAACATTCCTAGAATGATTTGGTGCATGGTTGGGGATTGGATTTTGCGCTAAGGAGATGTGTGGAGGTCAGTGGTTTTATTTGTTTCTTATCACAATATTATTTGAAAGATTTAGAAAAGAAGGCTTGTCTACCTGCTTTTCATATTCCTGTTGGAAGGAGAGATCTGCGGGCAGTGGCATGTAAAACAGATAAAATTAGAAAACATGTATTTATTTCAAATGGATGTCTGCGTATTATCAGTTTCATTGTAAGTGTATTTTGCCTGTGTAGCCTGCACATGAGAAAATTGATGTGGTTGACTCTCAGTGGATAGTTCATCAAGTTATTCCTTCTCTGGGAAGTCAGGTCAGTTAACTACTTTATTACAACCATCGGGACTTGCTTTTCCTTTTCCTAGAGGTGATTAAAATAATGAAGTTTAGTTGTTTGCAAATGTTGTTCTGTTCAACTTTAATTTCCATTTTTGAGCAAATGGTTCTTCATTTATAATATAAGCAACTTTTTAGCAGCAACCCCCTTATTTACATTTTTTTCTTCCACGTCAATTATCCTACTTGTCCCTTGATCTGGTTTCCCCTCATTTAGATTTGTTTTGTTGATAATGATGCTAACAGCTTCAGCTTCGTTGATTCTAGGGTCAATCTGAAAATGGAAAAGCTCCTTGGCAAGGGGTATGTAAGCTGTTACTTGTTCGGTTTCCATTTCAACCTTTCTGTATATTTTTTTACTGAGGCCTTTTCTTTGTCCTTCATTTTTTTTGCAAAAGTCAACTCTGAAAGCTTCTTCATCCAATTTTATGGTAATCTGAGTTATTCTATATCACCTACATTCTAACAATCATGTTTAAATTAGGATTCATAGGTCTTATATCTGCACTCTGTTTGAATTGCATGATTTTGCATTGAACTGAATTTCATTAGATTTGTCCAAACGTCAAGTAACTAGCTTGAATTCTTTTCTATCTAATTTGGTAGGTAAGAGAGAGATGCAGAAGTGAGTGGGCGCAGTTTCAAGATCGCCTAGCCAATGCAGATAAGAAATATATTGAACAGCTTGGGAGTACTTACCTACTTTCTGTTTAATATTCCACTATTAAGTTGCGAATTTGGAGACAGAATTTCTGTTATATGCCAAATTTCTAATATTCTGGGTATCTCTTTTGCAGGAACGAGGTATTTGAACAACAGAAAGTTTTGTATCCTTTTAAGTTTTCTTGCATTTGGGTATTGATACTATTCACCTTTATTGCTCTGACTCCTACTTCTTTGCACAAGTTCCCTTTGACCTGCAATGCTTCTTTACTTTTTTTTCTCTTAACTTCTTGTAGCTCTGATTGGAAAAGAAATATAGAGACATTGGAGAAAAATAGTGTAACCAGTCTGAGGACATTGATCAATCTTGGTTCTGAAGTGTACATGCAAGCTGATGTGTATGTCTCTTCATACCATATCAATGTCATTTTACTTGGTTGTTCATAGGATTAGTATACATTTGAAGCGTTTATCAAGATATGAAAGAATTCATTTCTCTTTTGTTTGAGGTGTGTGTGATTTATTATAACTCTATATGTTTGTGTCTGCCTATGCACTGAAAAAAAAAAAGAAAGTATATGGTACCTTAGTTGTTCCAAGTATGTCTTCAGCTATGGTGAACAAAGTGTTGTAGGTTCTTTGGGCTACGAGCTTGGGTTTTGGTAGTCTCAGTACCAGATGGAATCATGTCAGATTGATATAGGGTGCAAGAGAAGTGTTCTTTACTTGATGTGATGGTGCTTACTGTAAACAAATATGAGAGATAATTGCAGAAACAAGGCAAAAACAATCAATTATGGGGACAGTTCAAAACTTTAACAGCTTACGAATAAGCGATCGAACCTGAATTTATCTTTCCTGATTTCCAATTTTCAACTCTAGATATTCCCCAGGCAATCACGACCTTCAAGCTTCTCTTCATAACTATGCGTCTTTAGGAAACATCTGTTTTTTTGAACTTGATAAGTGGAGCCGATCCATGTATTCTTAAGGTAGCTATGTCAATGATTGAGTTGGAATAGAACAAACAAAAGAGAATGATTTATAATGTCAATGTATCCATGAATGATTTATAAGCCTATGTGCTTGATTTATCAACTCTAGATATATTGAGTGATTGAGTTGGATCTATTACAATTATCTATTGATTGAATACCTTGACCTTTTTGCCAAAATCTGTCTCAAAACTGATTTTGATTTGTAGCTATGGTACATTTGCTACTTGAGGTTGTGATGGTTATGTTGATGTGTGGGATGGAAACAATAAAAAAAAGGCTGTATCAGTTATTTTTCCTTAACTGAATTTGAAATGGCTTCCGCTCCATGACGACATTTGTCAGTTTTTTATCATACTTGTTATATTTGTCAAAACAAGGGTTCTTTTTTTTTTTTTGTTTTTTGCCTTTGAATTTGAGATTATGATTTCTTCGTTATACTAACTTATTCTATTGTTCGTGGAAATTTATTATTTTGGCTCATTTTTCTGAAAGTGATCAATTGGAATGCTAAAGCAAGATGAATTGTATTAGAGATTTCTTTTTGTTTCAGACTTTGACAAATGCTGTTTTATATCCTGTAAATGATGTTCTTCTGTGTTTGGTTCTTTCTGCGAGATGTTACTTTTGCTTCGGTGCATTGTGTATAAAGGCATCTTCATAAGTTACTTGTGTGAGTGCTGTTTTGAATGATTACACTTATTCTTCTTGAATGATTTTGAATGCTTTTGACTGAATAAATAGTGTATGCAGACTAGGAATTCATTGGTTATTTATGCCTATGCATTTTATGATTATGCTTCTGATTTTTTGCTGCAGAATGCTGAACTGACTGCTCATGTGGCTAAGCAGTAAAGAGGAAGGAATCTGCTGTCCTATGTTAGGCATTGTCGTTTGATTATGAGTGCAGTTTCATTGGATGTTTTTTAGTTAATGTGTATTATGTAGTTATAGTTGTTAGAGGACTCAAGCACAGAAATTCTGTAATAGCTAGGTTGTTGCCATTTCAGTTTGTTGCCATTCTGTAACAGCTAGGTATGTATTGATCATATAATTTCTGAAGCATTCTTGATGGGAGAGAAAGACTTTGGGGTAAAGAATCAAGAAATCATATAGAGAACAAAGTTGAAATTAATGTAAGACGAGACCATACAGCTTTCCTAAGATTGATTCTTTATTTGGTTCATTATTTCTGAAATAAGTTCAATTCTTTGGCCACCTTTTTTTTGCACATTACTTTTTCATTTTTTTGTGTTCATCCTAGATTAGATTAATAGTTTAAATATACTTTCGACAGTAATTAATTTATAATCAGTTCCACAATTTAGGTCTTGGTTTTCTTTTTATGACGTTTGTATAATAACCTATAAAAATGTTGGGTATATCATAATTGTTAGTGTCTAAAACAAAATGACTTCTTATACACGCAACAATTAATGTCATTCTTATATACAAAACAAGTAATGTCATTTTTAGTGTGAAGTGTCTTATTGAATTTCACTTTTGTGTATTTCAAGCATCTCTGGCCTCCAAAGACGAAAATTCGCTGAGAAGATGAGCAACAACCATGATGAAAGGATTATTTTACTACCATTACTTCCTTACAAGGACTAAGGACAATTCATGAGGTCCTAGAATCCGGTATTTATTACTACCACTATATATATATTTTTTGCTTAGACGGTATTTATTATGGCTGATATGGTTTCTTTTGTTACTTTATAAACAGATCATGAAATCTCAGAATCAGTTCTCCATCGTATTGTCTCATCTATGAATCCATTCCTAAAACATGACTGGACTACATTCAATTGCTTCTATCAATTTTATCTATCAAAGCTGGTATAGTTTTGCATTCTCTAACCTTATTAACTCTCTTTCTTTTGTACATATGTGTATTTACTTATCACAATTTTTTTTCATACATTTATAGGATCTGCCAGAATTTGCGAATCTAAGGCTAAATGAAGATAGTACGCTGACTATAACTCTTATGAATGGTCATAAATATTATCATGTTGGTATGACCGATAGATGTTTTGATCAAAACTGAAACCGTTTTTTTATTGATCATGATCTAAACAATGGCCAGATATTGCTTTTTATTCCACAATCCAAGACTCCCTTTGCTGTGCTGGTGTTTGACCGCAAAGGAATAGAGAAGTTGTTTCCATGGCAGTTTGCATTTTCCATTTGATGGCACATCTGATTTACGCTGATTCTGCTTCAACGCAATGCACGGCATTTGTTGTATTTATGTTCTTAATGGAAAAAAGTTCTGGTTAGAAAAATGCTTCCAAAGCACTGCAAATTTAATGTTTAGCAAGTTCCTACTGTTGTTTAACGATTGAAGCTTTCATAATGGATGTTCCAACGGCATTACTTATTAAACTTTGATGTTTAGCAATAAAGTTGATCCTACCTTTGGTTACAAAAAACAAATGGCTGGTATATATTAAATTTAGAAAAATGCTCCATTAAATTTGCATTAACAAAACTTCAGAGTTTGGAAGTTCCTATTAAAAATTTAGAAATTTAAATTTGCATTTCAGACTTTGGAAGTTTAGCAAAGTTTAGCAAATTTAGAAATTCAGGCTTTGGAAGTTCCAAAGCACTTCCATTAAATTTAGAAATTTAGCAACTTCCATGAAAGTTCGTAGCCAAGAAATATCAACAAACCTTCAGACTCATGGTATATATATACTAAAAAATGTACATTTCTAAATAAAATGTTATTTTTATTACTTCAGAAATGGAATGGGCATTTTACATTACTATCGCGCGAAGCGCGTTATTGCCTCCTAGTTCACAAAGAATTGGACAAAATTGAAAGTGTGCCATATAAAAATATGGGATAATTTCACAAACCTCCCCTGAGGTTTCTGACGCTTGCACTGAGACCCCTCCAGGTTTTAAATATTTCAGCTAGCTCCCCTGGCAGAGTATTGGGGTCCATTGCTGACATGAATAGTGCTGAAATTACCAAATTATCCTTAGAGGTTGGTTAGATGACTAACGGTAACTTGGATGACAAATGCATCTTGACATTGGTAATTACATCTTCAAATGTCCAGCCATCTTTAGTCTGGCATTCGGATCAAAGTTGTTGTGTCGTCCTTTATTTTATGATTTTTATCCAATCCAAATCTCTCACCCAGCAGCACAAAGCAAAATTTGATGGGTTGAGTCGTGCAAAGCTTTGATGATTGACTTTGATTTTTCTTTTTTCAGCTAATTTATTTGCATCATTGAAGCAGGGGATTTTTATTAACGCTACCAAGTTGGCACTACATTCTTGACCCAATATATAAGGTCAGAAGCAAAGCCGAATTTGATAGATAAATACTATTTTGGAAGAATTACAATTTTGGCTCCGAATATTTGGAACGTGAACGCTTTTAGTTACTAAATTTTGGATGAAAATAAATATAGTTCCAAATATTTTAGTTTCATGCATATTTAGTTCTAATAAACTGATTTTTATCGAATGCTACTGTCAAAATCGAGTCATGTGCCAGCAATTAATTATTTTTAAAAATTTAAAAAAAAATACTTCTAGCCAGTAACTATAATAAATTATGACTAATTTCTCATATGATGGTCATGTGAATAATTTTTAAGTTTTTACTACAAATTTTGGCCAGCAATTTTTTTTCAAGTTTTTTAATTCCTTTTAAAATAAAAATTATTTGTTGATACTTTATAGCACGTCACCGTCACCGAATCCTTGTAGCAATCCGTAAGAGTCATTGCACAAATTCACAATGAGGATTGTAGCAATCCGTAAGAGCTGTTGCACAAATTCACCGTAAGAGTCCTTGTAGCAATCCTTTAGAGTCATTGCACAAATTATTTGTCGATGGTGGATCAAGGGGCCATGCATAAGATCTGATAAATGTTTTCACTATAGCCTTCTGTTAATGCTCCTGCAAAACAATGAGGATATACTCTTCCTCCTCACAATCTTTTGGCTTGAGGATATACTTTGCACTTCTGATGTTTATATGCAGTTGGAGGTATACAAAATCTGGCCATTAGAAGATTGCAAGTTGCCGTTGGCTCTTCCTGTTAACATACTGAAGATGTCTCCATGTACTGCATCAAAATTTCTGAATTGCATTTATATCCTCTCAACTTTGATAATCATCTCAATCTTTTTAATAACTTGCAATCTTGTACTAATATAAAGAGGAAGAGGGTATTCATGGAATAAAAATGTCATCTCTATCATGATAGTAATATTTTAATCCTAATTGGACTGAATTGTTACCAAAATTTGAAAAGCAAGGGAGCTAGGTGAAATTTTTAAAACCTAGAGGGGTCTCAGTGTAAGTGTCAGAAATCTCAGGGGAGGTTTGTGAAATTATCCCTAAAAATATTGTCAAATGAATGCTCCAAATCAACCCAATCGCTTGCGGCAAATCCAGACCATGAACTGTTGTCTTGCCAGGTGTGAATGTAGCAGTAGACCCCACCTCTCATTTCTTCCCGCGCGACTGGTGCCACCGCTGTCAATTTTTTTTTTCTCTGAGACGCGATAATTATAGAGTGTATCCTAATCTATTCTAAATTAGGTAGAGGGATGGACCTGAAGAGATAAGAAGCAATCAAAGGAAATTAAACCATCACCAAATCAAATTGATATATTGTATGAATTTTTTGAAACAAATTTATATTAACCTCCTATCCCATCAACAGTTAAAGGCTTGATGGTGGCCACCAATGCTGCCATCATTTGTCTTGTTATTGGGGCCTATACATACGGAATATAGGGATATTTTCCAAAATCTCCTCTAAGATTTTGTTTAATATTACTTGATTCTAAAATCATATCTTTATAACAAACTCATCCCTACACCATGAAAATATTCTTAAAATAATTATTTAAAAAGAGAGATACAGAGTGAGATTTATTTTTGTTCCAATTTTATCCCTTTATGTTGTCTTATCTTGAAATTTTAACCAAATTAATTTCTAACATATATTTGCATGGGAGAACTAAACAAGATTAGAATAGAGTGTTAAGTGCTACAATAAATGATAGAATAGTATTTTCTTTCTATTTTTGGCTTTTTCTTTTTTTTCCCTTATATAATTGTTAGAATAACCAAAGAAACTTTAATTAAAAACTAGCATGTGAAAACTAAAAATGTGGCAAGAAGAGATGTTTGCATACAACAATTATTAGATTACACTTTTTTTTTATAAATTTAGATTTATTATCTTCCTTTTTTTGCATATATGATGGTTAGCATAATTAGGATAATTTGATATAAGGTTGACATAGAAAGACCAAAAGTCAAGGGAGGGGGTATGTTTAGGGAAAAATAATAATTAGAATCACCAAAATCTTATAGATTTTATTTTTTTTTCCGAACTCTTTTTTGCATAAAGTTTTTTAAAAAAAAAAAATAGTGAGAGCAAATATAGAATTGGCATAAAAAGACAAAAGTAGGGGAGATGTTAAGCATTTTCACTTCCCAACTTTTTTCCCGTAACATAGTAAGGGTGATTTAATATAAAATTCATATAGAGGGTATCGAAATTTGGAAGAATAAGGGTGATTAAATTCAAATATAATTATTCGAGTAGTTGTTGTCTTGATAGACTTAATTTTTTTGTTACATATGCTATTTGCTTAAATAGTTATTATACTATCAAAGACAATTTAATAATTGGTTGACATAAAAAGATTAAATAACTAAAATTCTTTAAGTGCAAAAATGAAAAATGGTTAAAATAGCCATTGCAATTTGGTTTTCTCTTTCGTATTTGTTTGCCTAAAGAATGATTAAACTAGTAAGAATAATTTTGTCAATTTATATGCAGTTAGGATGATTAGAAGTCTCATTTACCAACAAGGGAGGTAAATGATATTTCTGAAACTTTAAGGATACTAAAGTGAAATTAGGTAAAACCTCAAGGGAGGTCTCTGAAATTATTCCAATTTTCAAAAGTCGTTCTATCTTTTCTACCCAACTCTTCCATCCTTTGGTTACAATTTCAAACCCTGCCTGACAACTTCTCCTAGCCGGCATTTCCACAACCCCCTCCTGCAACTTTTTCCCAAGTAAACGAGGAGTGTATGATGAATTTGACAAAAGATCTATTCTCACTTTACAGTGAAAGCAAAGTCATCTTTGATGGGCAGGCTTCCCAAATCCCCTCTTCGCAACTCAAGCTCCAGTTCCAAGACATCTTATTCAACCCCAAGTACCCCATTGGTGCGGATCAATTCTTGAAGAGTTCGAACAATTCAGTTTCTCCATCAGCTTCCATAACAGACAGCTCCTGCATGACATTGCATTACGAAGACTATAAGGGCCATCACAAGGTCTTCAGTGAAGAAGATATAAAGACTCTTAGGCGCATTTCAGAAATATTGACCTCCAGAAACGAATTGGCGGATTGTGTTCAGATGTATGTCGAGCGTCGAAAGGACGCGGTCAACACGGTATTTATGAGACTGCGTGAGAAATTGAATGTACAAACCGTCTGTCATTTTAATTGCTTGGATGAGTTGAGTGACAAAATCAATGGATGGATGCAAATAGCCAAGTTTTGCATAGCCACCATTTTTAAATTAGAAAAGTGTTTTTATGAGCAAATATTTGGAGACCTGGGAACATCTGAGGACACTGCTGCTAACGGCCGTTTTGTGTCCATAGTAGTAGGAGCTGCGGCCGAGTTGTTTGAGTTTCCAGACTCTCTATTAGCCAGCCGCCGATTGCCCCAGAGACCAGACATTTTGATGCCCTTTTGTCAAGAACTCACCAATCTAGTTCCACAAGTGATTGTATATTTTGACCAAGATGTACAACCGGCGAAAGCTATCTGCGGCCTTGCCACTGAGATTTTGCTCCGACTGAAACAGCAAATGACAAAGATCCTTTCTGTTACAGAGAAACATGTTCTTCGTGAGCTTTCGACGATGCCATTTCCTGGGGGAGGAATTCACCCCTTAACTAGACACATAATTCGTCACATTGACCTGATTTATGTTCACAGGAAATCCTTAATTGACTTGGTGGCTAGACCCCAAAGCTCCAATGATCGAGATCCTCCTGAAGTAGTGGGTTCACATGAAATGGATGAAAGGCCAATTTCCATAGAGAGCCATCTAACTCGAGTCATCGAGTTTTTACTGTATAACTTGAAATTCAAGTCCAACTTCTATGGACAAGAATCTCTGGGTTTTTTGTTCATGATGAACAATGTTAACTCTGTTTCTGAGATGATTAAAAGTTCCGAGGAGTTGGGAGAACTTATTGGCACTCGCCTGCGGATGAAATTAAGTGAAAAAGTGGAGCTGGCAAGGGCTG